AGAGCGTTCCAGGCTGGGGGAACGGTAAGTGCAAGGCCTGGAGGTGCAAGCATACTTGGCAAGCGCAGATGGTGTGGTTGGAGTGCAGAGAGCAGGGAAAACGTCCTAAGAAGTGAGGCCGGAGCGGTAACGTGGATGCGGTGGGCGTGTAGGCTGTTGTAATGTTTAAGTGGGAAGCCACATTTTAGAAAAAGTACTGAATGGTTTATTTGGAGGTAGAAAAATAAGCCCAGAATTTCCTCCTTCCTAAGGATGTAGAACATTTAATAGAGCTCTGTTTGAAAAAATTTCCAGTGCGTAGGTAATGTTTTTTCTTCCTTGTTTGTACTCCTTTCCTTTCCTTTCTTTTAGCTGTATCTGGGCCAAGAGATAGTCTTTGCTTATTAAGGTTTGCATGGACAGCAACTAAACAATCAATGATAAAAATCAAAAGGGAAAAAAGGATCCTGGTTATCACCTTATATTGTTTAGGAATTCAAATTCAGAAAGACAAAAACCGTCTATAAAAATTTTAAAGGAATATACACTTTCAGGATTGGGAAGAAGCAAAGACCCGACTGTTGAGTAGGTGTTGAACACGCTGAAAGTACTGGATGGAATTTGAATCTCAGTCTTTTTTTCACAGACTGTTGGATTGGGTGGATTCTTGGGAAAATTAATCGTGTATTACCTTCTGAATTTATTCTCATCAACCTGTGAAACACAGCAACTAGAGAAAAAGAGAAATAGAACATGAAACATGGCAACTGATCAAAAATCTGCTTGGGAAACTGAAACTTAATAAGTCTTCCAATGAATAGATAAAAGCCAGAGTTTCTCAACCTTGGCACTATTGACATTTTAGGATGTTTAAGCAGCAATCTTTCATCTCTCCACTAGATGTCAGTAGCACCCTGCAGTTGTGACAAATGAAATTGTCTCCATATAATGCCAAGTCCAACTTTTTTTGTTGTTTTTTCTTTGTCCCGAGGGGCAAAATCCTCCTCTTCCCTCTTCCCCACAGTTGAGAATCATGTAAGTAATACCCTCATGTATATACCTAATTTATTTGAATTAGTCTTCCAGCACAGCCCGAAAGAGAGAGGAGGTGGACTTTAGGTAGGAAAGGGAAAGTGGATACAGATCAAGGGAAGTTGGGGGTGGTACTGGAGTTCAAGAGATGGCCTGGGTGAAAGGATTGATATCCAGGGGAATGGCAGTGAAGGCCTACTCCCTTCAGCATGGGATACAAAGTGGAGGTGGCTGTATCACATTTGGTCTGGCTTGGGACAAGATACAGAGCTATGGACACAGACAGGGTGGGCAGTTCAAGCTGGGGCAGGCTGTAGAGTAGAGGCTTTTAGTCCCAATGCAGGTCCAGCTCTAGCAGCATCGTGAGAATGGAGACATTGGTGGCCAGGATGATCCTCAAGGAGGCAGAGCCTGTGGTGGTGTGTAGACAGCAATTAGCAAGGACTTGGGCTGGGGTACCTATAATAGTAGTGAATGGCAGGAGCTATGGCTTGGCTTGATTCAGGGTACATGAGAGACCCCCGCTGGGCACTTGGGGGGACTCTAAATAAGGACACCGACTGAGGTTCTGCCAGTCATTTCCATGGGAGTAACAAGCTCCTGAAATTCAGCTGTCAATTTAAAGCTGTCAGTTACCTCTTGGTAATCCCTGGATATATTCATTTGTAAGCTTGGCAATAGTATCTTTAGTACCAAAGAGCATCTGTTTTCCTGGATTTGCTGCTTGTTGTTTTTCTCTGCAAACATCCAGGCTGTCACACATTTTAGTTTTACTGAGCTCCGGGAAGTGCAGATATCTCTTCCAGAGTTGGGAAGGATGGGAGAGAGAGCTGGTATTAGGTCATAAGACACACTAAGTAAATGTGATCTCTGGAGGTTATCAAACACATCTCACACAAACACGTCTCACACAAACACATTACATAATCCAGAGATTTATTTTACATTAATGAGCTCTGCTTTCTGGGTACAAACGATGTATAACAATACCTGGGAAAAACTGCCTAGTTGAGAATTGACCACTTATCCAATAATTATTTACTTTTAATATTTCTGACTCGGGGAGTTGGCAGTGGTTAGACTTATTTTAGTACCTTACAGCCTCCTCCCACCAACACAAGCACTTTAAGTTATGTTTTTGTTAATCTAATAAATCTCTTGTTTTAGTGATAAGGAAATTGTGAAGATTGCTTCTATGTAACTCTGATGCCTGCCCCCTCAATGATATAAATTTGGCTCACTTCATTTCCTATAGAATTTCAGTAGAAATCCAAAGCCTTGCCCAATATTTCTGGGAATTCCCTGGGTACTTGTATTTTCTGTGGATTAGGGGTCCGCACCAGGAAATACAGGCAACCTCCAGAATCTGGAAAAAGTACCAAAAGAATTGTCCCCTAGAGCCTCTGGGGAGAATTTGACTGTGCCAACACCTTGATTTCAGGCCAATGAAACCAATTTCAGACTTCTCATCTCTAGAACCGTAAGATAATAAATTAGTGTGGTGTTAAGCCACCAAGTTTGTGGTAATTTATTAGAGCCACAATAGAAAATTAATACATCCTTCCCCCAGACACACATAAGAATGAAAATACAATAACATCGGTTCCTTAATTTTCCTTTTAAAAACATTATTTGTTGTGCATTGTCTATTAATAAAATGTCATAATCAAAGGTGATTGCTACAGACAGTCTCTCAGATCCTTTAGCATCCTTTTAATATTTCTTTTTTCTCTTTTTTAAACATCTTTATTGGAGTATAATTGCTTTACAATGGTGTGTTAGTTTCTGCTTTATAACAAAGTGAATCAGCTATACATATACATATATCCCCATATCTCCTCCCTCTTACGTCTCCCTCCCACCCTCCCTATCCCACCCCTCTAGGTGGTCACAAAGCACCGAGCTGATCTCCCTGTGCCATGCAGCTGCTTCCCACTAGCTATCTATTTTACATTTGGTAGTGTATATATGTCAATGCTACTCTCTCTCTTCGTCCTACTACTACTAATGCTACTCTTACCCTTCCCCCTCCCCGTGTCCTCAAGTCCATTCTCTACATCTGCGTCTTTATTCCTGTCCTGCCCCTAGGTTCTTCATAACCATTTTTTTGTTTTAGATTCCATATATATGTGTTAGCATACAGTATTTGTTTTTCTCTTTCTGACTTACTTCATTCGTATGACAGACTCTAGGTCCATCCACCTCACTACAAATAACTCAATTTCGTTTCTTTTTATGGCTTAGTAATATTCCATTGTGTATATGTGCCACATCTTCTTTATCCATTCATCTGTCGATGGACACTAGGTTGCTTCCATGTCCTGGCTCTTGTAAATAGACCTGCAATGAACATTGGGGTGCATATGTCTTTTTGAATTATGGTTTTCTCAGGGTATATGCCCAGTAGTGTGATTCCTGGGTCATATGGTAGTTCTATTTTTAGTTTTTTAAGGAACCTCCATACTGTTCTCCATTGTGGCTGTATCAATTTACATTCCCACCAACAGTGCAAGAGGGTTCCCTTTTCTCCACACCCTCTCCAGCATTTATTGTTTGTAGATTTTTTGACGATGGCCATTCTGACTCGTGTGAGGTGATACCTTACTGCAGTTTTGATTTGCATTTCTCTAATGATTAGTGATGTTGAGCATCCTTTCATGTGTTTGTTGGTAATCTGTATATCTTATTCGGAGAAAGGTCAATACCAGCAAATGACTGAATCGATAGCACTTCAAACAAAATGGCATAAAACAAGAGAAACTACTTGGCACAGTTTGACAATGAATTAAATTTCAAACATCTCCATGGGGAAAGCTGACCTTTAATTGACTGTGTATTTGTTTTACTGTCTTTCTCACTAGATTGTAAGCTGCATGAGGTTTGGGGGAAATGTCTGCTTTGTTTCACTGAAGGGTAGCAGAATATGCCACCCCCAAATATGCCACCTTGCCTTAGGATTATTTTGAGCTAAAGGCAGTTGAAAAGAAGCAGATATAAGGAAAGCTCTCTGCTCTCCCCCATCTTCCTGAAAACAATGTCTCTCCTCCTCTACCAGGAAGGACAGAAGTTGATCACCTGAGACAACTCCAGTCCCTAATCAACCCAGAGACACAAACAGAAAAATATACATAACAAACCTTATAAGCAGGCTATTATCTTCCATTAGTTTCCCTCATATATTTGCCTTCCTATAATTTGCCACTTAGAAACTAAAGTTCTTTGCCTTTACCTTATCACTTCTCTAAAAATGTATTGTTTGTTTGTTAGGATGCTATATAAACCCACCCCTTTGAATTACTCATCACTGGGTACTCCCCTGGGTATGCCCAATGCATGTGTTAATAAACTTGTTTGTTTTTCTCTTGTTAATCTGTCTTTTTTCAGTTTAATTTAAGGCCCAAGCCAATGAACCTAATATGGGTAGAGGAAAAAGAATTTTCCCTCCCCTACATCACCATAGTATTTTTGGTATCTAGCACTGAGAACTATTTATTGATAAAATGAATGAATTGAACATTTTATTTTACGTAAGTCCAGTGGTTTTTTTTAAATAGATCTTTATTGGAGTATAACTGCTTCACAATACTGTGTTAGTTTCTGTTATACACCAAAATGAATCAGCCATATGCATACACATGTCCCCATATCCCCTCCCTCTTAAGCCTCCCTCCCACCCTCCCTATCCCACCCCTCTAGGTCATCACAAAGCACCGAGCTGATCTCCCTGTGCTATGCAGCTGCTTCCCACTAGCTATTTTACAATCAGTGGTGTATATATGTCAATGCTACTCTCACTTTACCCCAGCTTCCCCCTCCCACCCCATGTCCTCAAGTCCATTCTCTATGTCTACATCTTTATTCCTGCCCTGCAACTAGGTTCATCAGTATCATTTTTTTTTTTAGAGTCCATATATAATTAGAATACAGTATTTGTTTTTCTCTTTCTTACTTACTTACTTCACTCTGTATGACAGACTCTAGGTCCATCCACCTCACTACAGATGACTCAATTTCGTTTCTTTTTATGGCTGAGTAATATTCCATTGTTTATATGTGCCACATCTTCTTTATCCATTCATCTGTCAATGGACATTTAGGTTGGTTCCATGTCAAGGCCAGTGTTTTATTTGCTACAAATCTACTCAACAAACTTTTTTTTTCCTGCTATATAACATTCACAGAGAAATGGTTCTTCTCTCTCTTCCTCTCTCTCTTTCACACACAGAGACCTGTATAGTCTGTTTCACTATTTTCTCCGTACAACCAGTGTTTTATCAGGTTTGAGTAATTGTTCAAAGATTACATCATTGCAGTGAATTACATGTTTCTGAAAGCAGCAAGCAGAAAAGATGATTAGTATATGTTGATGTAAAATCAAATGATATGTAAGAGTGGTCCATATTTCAGTGCCTACAGGTCACAAGCACAGAGTTCTCCAAGACAGGAACCAGCCTCAGGGCCTGCTCGTAATACTCCAGGGCTTCATTCATTTCTCCTTTTACTTTGTGGATGAACCCAAGGATGCACAAGCTTTCTATATCTGATGCATCTCTCTGAAGTTTCTGTGAAGCCAATTTCTTCAAAGAATTGATACTTTTATCCCTTGCTAATGATGCGTTTTCTATTTTTACTGCTTTTAAATAATGGCTGATTGCATCAACTTCAGATTTTTTTTGAAATTCCAGAAATCGGCCGTAGTGGAAATGTACCTGTTGCAGTATATATTTGTTGAGTGATTCCATACATAACACCTTTTGATAAGCATCTTCAGCTTTTTTGTGGTCACCTGCTTCTATGTACATTTCTGCCAGGTCTATGTAAGCAAACTCAAATGTGGGCTTTTGTTGCACAGCAAATTCAAAATGAGGTATGGCTAATTGTATTATTCTGTTGATGTTTTCTTTATCCTGTCCTTTAGGCTGCCAGTTTGTAGCTCTCTTTATTTGGATCATTTGTGACTTATAGCAAAGCCCCATCTGGTGATGCAGGACGACAGAGGAGGGTGTTACTTTCAAGGCCAGTTTTAAGAACTGAAGAGCTTCATCTAGAGAGCCTTTTCTTCGGTAAAACTTGGCAGTATATCGGAAGACATAGATCTTTGAGGACGCGTTGGTCAGTGCTTCTTTAATGTATTTTTCTCCTTCAGCTTCTTGTCCTACAGCTTGAAGCTTCAGGGCAAGGAGAGCCTTAATATATGCATCTTTTGGATTTAGCCTGACAGCCTGTTTTAGGGTATTCAGACAAAATGCCTCAGTACTCTGTGCTGCTTTGTTAAAGCCCTCCAGGCGATAGATGGTGATTGCATACCCAGCGCTGAATTCAGGGTTTTCAGGGTCCACTTCCAGAGCCTTTTCAAAGCAGACCTTGGCCCGTTCATAATTCTTTCCTCCACATTTCAGCAAGGCCCATCCTTCCTCACAGTCCATTTCAGGACACTCCATTCTATAGCTGGAGGAATTTGCAAGCTTCCTGCAAGTGTTCTTCACCTTGTCCAGGTAAATCTGGGCTTCTGCATGTCGGCCCATGTGGTAATGCAGCCAGGCATAGTTGCCCCAGGTAACCAGACTTCTCACGTCTGATTGGTTGGCATGTTCTTGCTGGGTTAAGTCTTCAGCTTCTTTCAAACTCTTCAAGGCTTCCTCATTCTGGCCTCTCAGGTGTTTCACATAGGCCAATAAGTTGTATATTCCCACTTTGTATGTGGTGTCCAGGAACTCAATCTGCTCCAAGACCCTGTCTTCTAATTCAGGTATTTCAGTGTCTTTAATGACCAACTCCCATGTAAAGTGACATCTCAACTGTTCCAGCTTATCCTTGATCTGATCCTCATCAGCATTAGTACTTTAAAAACAAAAGCAGATTTTCTTTGTTAGGTGACAAACAGCCAATAGAAATAAGTCAGACAAAACACTGCATATTTAGAGCTTAGCCTTGAAAAGGGCACTCCTGCTTTGATCTTCCTTTGAGTTCCTATATTTCTAAGATCCATGTGGCCTTTGAATGCAGTTTGCTTGGCTTCATACACTGGCCCCAGCACTTTCTACCCATGCAACCTCTCTGTGCTTCAGAGTCTCCTTTGTAAAGTGGGGAAAATAATAGACTTATCACACTGGATTTGGTGAGAATTAATACGCCTATCTATGGAAAGCACTTAGAGCACACATATTTCATGCTATGTAAGAGTTTCCTAGGAGATTGGTTCAAGATGGCAGAGTAGAAGGACATGTGCTCACTCCCTCTTGGGAGAGCACCAGAATCACAACTAACTGCTGAACAATCATCGACAGGAAGACACTGGAACTCACCAAAAAAGACACCCCACATCCAAAGACAAAGGAGAAGCCACAATGAGATGGTGGGGTGGGGCGCAATCACAGTAAAATCAAATCCCATAACTGCTGGCTGGGTGACTCAGAATCTGGAGAACAATTATACTACCGAAGTCCACCCACTGGAGTGAAGGTTCTGAGCCCCACGTCAGGCTTCCCAACCTGGGGGTCCGACAACGGAGAAGGAATCCCCAGAGAATCAGACTTTGAAGGCTAGCGGGATTTGATTGCAGGACTTTGACAGGACTGGGGGAAACTGAGACTCCACTCTTGGAGGGCACACACAAAGTAGTGTGTGCACTGGGACCCAGGGGAAGGAGCAGTGACCCCATAGGAGACTGAACCAGACCTACCTGCTAGTGTTGGAGGGTCTCCTGCAGAGCCCAGGGGCAGCTGTGGCTCACTGCAGGAACAAGGACACTGGCAGCAGAAGTTCTGGGAAGTACTCCTTGGCTGAGCCCTCCCAGAGTCTGCCATTAGCCCCACCAAACAGCCGCAACCTTCCAGAAAAAGAATTCAGAATAATGATAGTGAAGGTGATCCAGGACCTTGGAAAAATAATGGAGGCAAAGATCGAGAAGATGCAACAAATGTTTAACAAAGACCTAGACGAATTAAAGAACCAACCACTAGAAGAATTAAAGAACAAACAAACAGAGATGAACAATACAATAACTGAAATGAAAAATACACTAGAAGGAATCAGTAGCAGAATGAATGAGGCAGAAGAACGGATAAGTGACCTAGAAGACAGGTTGGTGGAATTCACTGCCATGGAACAGAATAAAGAAAAAAGAATGAAAAGAAATGAAGACAGCCTAAGAGACGTCTGGGACAACATTAAATGTACCAACATTCACATTATAGGGGTCGCAGAAGGAGAAGAGAGAGAGAAATGATCCAAGAAAATATTTGAAGAGATTATAGTCAAAAACTTCCCTAACATGGGAAAGGAAATAACCACCCAAGTCCAGGAAGCGCAGAGAGTCCCAGTCAGGATAAACCCAAGGAGAAACACACTGAGACACATAGTAATCAAATTGCCAAAAATTAAAGACAAAGAAACATTATTGAAAGCAACAAGGGAAAAATGACAAATAACATACAAGGGAACTCCCATAAGGTTAACAGCTGATTTCTCAGCAGAAACTCTACAGGCCAGAAGGGAGTGGCACAATATATTTAAAGTGATGAAAGGGAAGAACCTACAACCAAGATTACTCTACCCGGCAAGGATCTCATTCAGATTCGATGCAGAAATCAAAAGCTTTACAGACAAGCAAAAGCTAAGAGAATTCGGCACCACCAAACCAGCTCTACAACAAATGCTAAAGGAACTTCTCTAAGTGGGAAACACAAGAGAAGAAAAGGACCTACAAAAACAAACCCAAAACAATTAAGAAAGTGGTAATAGGATCATACATATCAATAATTACCTTAAACATGAATGGATTAAATGCTCCAACCAAAAGACACAGGCTTGTGGAATGGAAACAAAAACAAAACTCATATATGTGCTATCTACAAAGAGACCCACTTCAGACCTACGGACACATACAGACTGATAGTGAGAGGATGGAAAAAGTTATTCCATGCAAATGGAAATCAGAAGAAAGCTGGGGTAGCAATACTCATATCAGATAAAATAGACTTTAAAATAAAGAATGTTACAAGAGACAAGGAAGGACACTACATAATGATCAAGGGATCAATCCAAGAGGAAGATATAACAATTGTAAATATATATGCACCCAACATAGGAGCACCTCGATACATAAGGCAAATGCTAACAGCTATAAAAGAGGAAATCGACAGTAACACAGTAATAATGGGGGACTTTAACACCTCATTTACACCAATGGACAGATCATCCAGACCGAAAATTAATAAGGAAACAGAAGCTTTAAATGACACAGTAGACCATATAGATTTAATTGATATTTATAGGACATTCCACCCCAAAACAGCAGATTACACTTTCTTCGCAAGTGCACACGGAACATTCTTCAGGATAGATCACATCTTGGGTCACAAATCAAGCCTTAGTAAATTTAAGGAAATTGAAATCATATCAAGCAATTTTTCCGACCACAATGCTATGAGATTAGAAATCAATTACAGTGAAAAAAAAAGTAAAAAACACAAACACATGGAGGCTAAACAATATGTTACTAAATAACCAAGAGATCACTGAAGAAATCAAAGAGGAAATCAAAAAATACCTAGAGACAAGTGACAACGAGAACAGGACAATCCAAAACCTATGGGATGCAGTGAAAGCAGTTCTAAGAGGGAATCTTACAGCAATGCAATCCTACCTCAAGAAACAACAAACATCTCAAATAAAGAATCTAACCTTACACCTAAACGAACTAGAGAAAGAACAAACCAAACCCAAAGTTAGTAGACCTACAGACCTACGGACAAAGTTATTAGAAGGAAAGAAATCATAAAGATCAGAGCAGAAATAAATGAAATAGAAACAAAGAAAACAATAGCAAAGATCAATAAAACTAAAAGCTGGTTCTTTGAGAAGATAAACAAAATTGGTAAACCATTAGCCAGACTCATCAAGTAAAAGAGGGAGAGGACTCAAATCAATAAAATTGAAATGAAAAAGGAGAAGTTACAACAGACACTGCAGAAATACAAAACATCTTAAGAGACTACTACAAGCAACTCTATGCCAATAAAATGGGCAACCTGGAAGAAATGGACAAATTCTTAGAGGGGTATAACCTTCCAAGACTGAACCGGGAAGAAATAGAAAATATGAACAGACCAATCACAAGTAATGAAATTGAAACTGTGATTAAAAATCTTCCAACAAACAAAAGTCCAGGACCAGATGGCTTCACAGGTGAATTCCATCAAACATTTAGAGAAGAGCTAACACCCATCCTTCTCAAACTCTTCCAAAAAATTGCAGAGGAAGGAACACTCTCAAACTCATTCAATGAGGCCCCCATCACCCTGATTACAAAACCACACAAAGATACTACAAAAAAGGAAAATTACACACCAATTTCACTGATGAATGTAGATGTAAAAATCCTCAACAAGATACTAGCAAACAGAATCCAACAGCACATTAAAAGGATCATACACCATGATCAAGTGGGATGTATCCCAGGGATGCAAGGATTCTTCAATATATGCAAATCAATCAATGTGATACACCATATTAACAAACTGAAGAAGAAAAACCATATCATCATCTCAATAGATGCAGAAAAAGCTTTTGACAAAATTCAACACCCATTTAGGATAAAAATTCTCCAGAAAGTGGGCATAGAGGGAACCTACCTCAACATAATAAAGGCCATATATGACAAACCCACAGCAAACAGCATTCTCAATGGTGAAAAACTGAAAGCATTTCCTCAAAGATCAGGAACAAGACAAGGATGTCCACTCTCACCACTATTATTCAACATAGTTTTGGAACTCCTAGCCATGGCAATCAGAGAAGAAAAAGAAATAAAAGGAATACAAAGTGGAAAAGAAGAAGTAAAACTGTCACTGTTTGCAGATGACATGATACTATACATAGAGAATCCTAAAGATGCCACCAGAAAACTACTAGCGTTAATCAATGGATTTGGTAAAGTTGCAGGATACAAAATTAAGGCACAGAAATTTCTTGCAGTCCTGTACACTAACAACGAAAGATCAGAAAGAGAAATTAAGGTAACAATCCCATTCACCATTACAACAAAAAGAATAAAATACCTAGGAATAAACCTACCTAAGTAGGTGAAAGACTTATACTCAGAAAACTGATGAAAGAAATCAGAGATGACACAAACAGATGGAGAGATATACCATGTTCTTGGATTGGAAGAATCAATATTGTGAAAATGACTATACTACCCAAAGCAATCTACAGATTCAATGCAATCCCTATCAGACTACCAATGGCATTTTTTACAGAACTAGAAACAAAATCTTAAAATTTGTATGGAGACACAAAAGACCCCAAGTAGGCAAAGCAATCTTGAGGGCAAAAAACGGAGCTGGAGGAATCAGACTCTCTGACTTCAGACTATACTACAAAGTACAGTAATCAAGACAATATGGTACTGGCACAAAACACAAAAACAGAAATATAGATCAATGGAACAGGATAGAAAGCCCAGAGATAAACCCACGCACCTATGGTCAACTAATCTATGACAAAGGGGACAAAAATATACAATGGAGAAAAGACAGTCTCTTCAATAAGTGGTGCTGGGAAAACTGGACAGCTACATGTAAAAGAATGAAATTAGAACGTTCCCTAACACTATACACAAAAATAAACTCAAAATGGATTAAAAACCTAAATGTAAGACCGGACACTATAAAACTCTTAGAGGAAAATTTAGGAAGAACACTCTTTGACATAAATCACAGCAAGATATTTTTTGATCCACCTCCTAGAGTAATGGAAAGAAAAACAAAAATAAACAAATGGGACCTAATGAAACTTAAAAGCTTTTGCACAGCAGAGGAAACTACAAACAAGACAAA